TATAGCACCTGGTATTCCCGAGGAGTCACCCATCTAAGTACTAACCAGGCTCGATGTTGCTTATCTTCAGTGATCAAACTGGAACATGATAGGGTGATAAGCATGACCAAAATCTTGTGATAAAACCAAAGACAATCATGTAAATAACTACCAATTTTTTTTTTTTTTTTACTTATGAGTTTTGCTTTTATCTTGACAAAAAAAAAAAAAAAAAAAAAAAAAAAAAAAAAAAAAAAAAAAAAATCGGTAATGTATAAAGGGATACTGATACGGTCTCATTGGCTAATATTTATCAGCTGACAAACAATACCGTTTCATTGGCTAATATTTATCAGCTGGCAATGCAAAATTGAATGTTTTATGTCTAACATTCACAAAAGATTGTTTTTTTGCTTATTTTCTTAGAAATAAACTAAAATCAGAAGGTTTAAACATTTTAAAAATAGAAAAGATTAAAAATAACCATAACTGAATATTTTTTAAAATGTCTACAAAAACACATTGCCTGTGTTTCTTATAGCACCGACTATGAGTCATCTCATGCTTGGTAACTTTTATACAAGTTCATCTGTGGCCGCCTACAACAAGTTTATCTACGGTGATACTTTTAGCGTGAAAACAATGTTAGAATTCTGTTGAAGGTATGAATCGACTAACTTGGCTACAATAAAGTTGGCATTTGAAGTCAGATTTCATAATTGACCTCTGGCACTGAACGTGTTAAAACCCAATTATATTTTTAGTAAGTTGTTACTAATAAAAAGAGAGAGTTGGCAGCTCCAGGTTGGTGGTAGGATAGGAACGCAAGAGGAAAGATCAGGGAAAATAAATTAAGGAGGAGGAGTAAAATGGAGAAGGTGGAGACAAAATCCAACTAAAAAACGTCTACAAAACAAAAACAAAAACAAGACATGATGAGCAATTGTGTGGTCCCACCAGAATGAGTTCTGCTTATCTGGGTGGTGCCTGGCTCCCAAGTTATACAGAAAACATGAAGAATATCCTGCACGTGTTGTACTAGCCCACTTGAACAATGCCTACATGAGGAGGGCGTGCCCACAGATACACTCTCACATCCCCCCGAGGTCAATGTGGCGAGGTATTTCGACGGATAGATGCGTGATTTTCGAGCTGCAAATCAGAGTAGAGGGAATAAAAGATAACATAAAAATAAAAAGTATCGTTAAGAAAAAAAAAAGAAAAAAATAGTAAGAAAAAGACTTCCAGACAGATTTTGCGTATCTGCTTATTCATAGAACACAATGATGAATAACATTCAAATCCTTATGTAAAAGTGTAAATGAAAAATCTAAGTCAACTTTTACTTGAAAGAGAAGACAAAAATAACTATAGAAAAGGAGAAAAGAAGAGGAGAAGAGAAAAGGAAAAAAAAAAAAAGGAGAAGAGAAAAGGAAAAAAAAAAAAAAGGAGAAGAGAAAAGGAAAAAAAAAAAAGGAAGAGAAAAAAAAAAAAAAGGAGAAGAGAAAAGGAAAAAAAAAAGGAGAAGAGAAAAGGAAAAAAAAAAAGAAGAAAAAAAAAAAAAAAAAAGGAGAAGAAAAAAAAAAAAAGAAAAAAAAAAAAAAGGAGAAGAGAAAAGGAAAAAAAAAAAGGAGAAGAGAAAAAAAAAGGAAAGGAGAAAAGGAAAGGAGAAGAGAAAAAAAAAGGAAAGGAGAAAAGGAAAGGAGAAGAGAAAAAAAAAGGAAAGGAAAGGAGAAAAGGAAAGGAAAGGAGAAAAGGAAAGGAAAGGAGAAAAGGAAAGGAAAGGAGAAAAGGAAAGGAAAGGAGAAGAAAGGGGGAAGGAAAGGAAAGGAGAAAAGGAAAGGAGAAAAGGAAAGGAGAAAAGGAAAGGAGAAAAGGAAAGGAGAAAAGGAAAGGAGAAAAGGAAAGGAGAAAAGGAAAGGAGAAAAGGAAAGGAGAAAAGGAAAGGAGAAAAGGAAAGGAGAAAAGGAAAGGAGAAAAGGAAAGGAGAAAAGGAAAGGAAAGGAGAAAAGGAAAGGAAAGGAGAAAAGGAAAGGAAAGGAGAAAAGGAAAGGAAAGGAGGAAAGGAAAGGAAAGGAGGAAAGGAAAGGAGGAAAGGAAAGGAGAAAAGGAAAGGAAAGGAGAAAAGGGAAAAAAAGAGAGGAGAAAAGGAAAAAAAACGTGAAAGAGAAAAATGAAGAGAAAAGAAAACTATAAAAATAGAAAAGAGAAAAAAAACAAAAAAACTATAAAAATAACCAAAATCTTTATCATAAAGTGCAATCTCTTTAATCCAGCGCTGCATATCACTTTTTATAATCAGCCACCATTGGTTTGTTGAGCAGCTACAAGAATGACTCCACATGGTTTTTAAAACTTTCCACAGTAAGAGTGTGTTTTCATGATACAGTCTTACTCATTTCTTATAAACTATAGTAAGCATATATTTTTGGTCTTAGGCTTTTTTTAGCCTTTGTATTGCATGAAACAATAAATAAAAAAAAAAAAAGAACTGGTTTGGAAGCATTAATGATTGTCAAATCTCCTTGTTTAAGTTTCCTTCTACCTTTAATAACATAGCAATATATATGTGGAATGAACTGGCAAGACTATGTTTAAATATTTTTTTTAGGGGTGATTTCTGTGGTCCAGCAGTGGCCTGTTCTTAGGGGGCGCCAGATTAAAAAGATCACTGTACTTATATCACTTAAACACTATCAAATGTTAAATAAGCAAAGTTTTGTTCTGTGCGCTTTAATTGTTGGCAATCAATTCCAAATAAAGACTTTACTTTGTTATTTATATTTGGACTAGTATCCTAGTATCCACATTTCTGACATTGTGCTCTGCAGTTTACTTCAAGTGTTTGTCAATCCAGGTAATTTTCATGGAATTCCAAACTGAACCAGTTATTCAACCTTAGAAAGCCTGAACAGAAAAAATGATTTACAAAGATTATACCACTTCATCTGTAGTTTCACAATTGTTTACTAGTTGCCAGTGATGCTTAGTGTCATATGTACAACCACATCTGTCGTCTGGCAGAGATTTTTTATTTTAGTTCAGGTAAAACCAATGTAGTTTAGATTTAGTTTTTAAATTGGTATCTTAAATGATACCACAAGCATGCAAAGATCAATGGATAGAGGAGGACCGTTCTCATTCCACGGTCCATATGTAGAGATAGATTTGTTATCTTTTTAGCACTGATTACTTATTGCTCACCCTTCCACTGAATATGTATAATAAAGTGTTCAGTTTAAAATTTCCTGGAGAGTAGCCAGATCAACAGACATCTGATTAAGGCCAGAGAGCATGACGGCCAAAAAGTTGTGATAATGATGAAGATGAGAAAATTAGACCAGATACAAAAAATATAAATAAAAACTTTACAAACTGGACTATATTCATTCAAGTAATTTTTAAATTTACCTAAACGTAAATTATAAGAGTTGCTCTAAAAGGAATTCTTTATTTTTATTTTGATGGTCCAAAATGCCAAAGGCATCATATTTTTCCTTGTTACAATGCACAAATCTGAGAAGATGACGTCAGACATGAAATTATAAAATAGAAGTATAGCATTGAATTCCCTCAAGCAAAAAATAAATTGAACCTATTGACATTCCTCAATGCTTCATAAACATTTATGGAGACCAAACAGTGGATATGCAGAGGGCAAGATGTGGCAGTAATGTGAAACAAGCCATGTTCTGAGTATAGCATGGTGACTTGTTCTGACAAGATGAATAGCCAATAACAATTTCTATTCAGAAAAATATTTAGTAGCTGAAAATTTGTTCTATCTAATGGCATTATTGTGATCTTTGTATCCGGTGTCACATGTATGGGAATAAATAAGAGGCATTAAGAAGGATTTGATGTATAAGTCTACATTTTCTTTTTGCCAATTTGCAGTATTATTATTATTAATTTACTATTACCACAGAAATAAATGTCACCAAAAAGATGTTGTGAAAGAGAATGAGAGATTTCTAGCTAAGATGTAGTCTTCTGCAAAGGTGTCAAGTTCTCATAGTTATGAAGTTAAAGTGTCTGGTGAATTCAATTACTCTTCTTCTCTGAAGCAGAAAGGTACATGAACTTGAATCTCACCAATATCTTATTCATTTCCATCCTGTGAATAAATAAAACTGATAGCCGAAGTTGCAATAAAAAGCAACTGAAAAAAATTAAAAAAAAAAAAAAAATCATTTCGGATGAAATTAAATACAATTCAAAATTAATAACTGTATTGTTGGTTTTTACTTATTTTATGAAGTCTGTCTTGTACATCTTTATAATCATCTTCGAACAGTCTTTCATTGTCATAACAAAGTTCACAGCTCAAGGGAAATAACTCTTAATATAGAACTATTTTTAGAGTTATCTCCCTTAATAAAAAGGTAAGTTACAGATACGGATATTTGATATATTCAAAATATCTGAAAGTTTTTTGTATAATCTTAATACAGAGGGCTGCAAAAGTAGATACACAGTATGCAAATCAATGCATTAAGTAAAATTAGGTAATCAATACGTTATGTGTCTTTCATTATTGCACGTCCCTATATGCTTTTACAAAATAAAAAAATTGCCATTTTGAAAAAAAAACTACATTTTTTTATCTTAGACTGCATTGATACTTAACAGCAAGAATTGCATTAAAAGTAACTTTTTAAAAGTTAAAAATAAAATGGACAAATTTATTATAAAAAAAAATAAATTAAATTGATATGAGAATTCAATTAAGTTTTAATTTTCAACAAAAAATTTTTGTTAATAGGAATTCACAAGTAGTGTTTTTACAATTTCTCTAAGTTCCCCTTTTTGTGGAGCAATGTGCTCCACAAAAAAAGGGAACGAGAGAGGGGGAGAGAGAAGGGGGAAGAGGAGAGAGAAATTGTTAGGGAAAAGGTAGAGAGAAGGGAAAGAGAGAGGGAGATAGAGAGGGGGAGAGGGGGAGGGGAAAAGAGAGGGAGGGGAAAAGAGGGAGGGGAAAAGAGAGGGAGGGGAAAAGAGAGGGAGGGGAAAGAGAGGGAGGGGAAAAGAGAGGAGGGGAAAAAGAGAGGGAGGGAAAAGAGAGGAGGGGAAAAAGAGGGAGGGGAAAAGAGAGGGAGGGAAAAGAGAGGAGGGGAAAAAGAGGGAGGGGAAAAGAGAGGGAGGGGAAAAGAGAGGGAGGGGAAAAGAGAGGGAGGGGAAAAGAGAGGGAGGGGAAGAAAAGAAAATCAATTTAAGTGAGGTTTCAAAAAGTATAAATTTTTTTGGTCTTTCAAAATCAATTCTGCAAACAGAATATATACATGGAGGCAATACAATTTAATAGATAAATTTGTTTTCTCTTCAGCTTAAGTGATTTTTTTTTCAATGCACAGAACCTCAACAACCTCACAATTTTAACACCTCTTAGCCTTGATATTTTACCTAAAATAATGGATAATTAAAGATGAAACTCCCCTGACACATAAACTTTAATATTACCCAGTCATAACAGTTGACCATAGACTTGAAGAGGTTAAGGTTATATTGATTGGAGAGGCATCGTCTCAGGAGTCTGTTCCACAAAGTGGTAGTTCTCAGGAAGAAGATGTCTAAGTGAAATTTCTTGCTTACTCATGGAATGCAGATCACTTGACTGTGTATGTGGCATACTGGGTTTTAGCTATAAAGGTCTGAACTGGTAGAACTATGGAGTGTAGCTCATTGGAACATTTCAAACAGAAATATCGAAAGTGGTTTGCAACACATCTGTGAGAAAAGGGATGTCAGGTGGAAAATGATTCATCACCCACAAGACTGCATGAACTCTTTAAAGGATGGAAAGTAAGTATTGGATGGCTCCAGCACAGATACGGCAGCAATTGTCCATTTTTGATAAGGGATCTGCTACTTTCTTCAATGGTACAAGTGTAATCCTTAATCCATTTCCTTCAGTTGCTATCTCCACTAGCTTTGTTGAGTAACATCAACCTTATGGTCATCCATTTTTCTTTTCCCACCTTGTTTGAGGCCTGTGTCTTCTTGGTAGGGTTGATTTGGGTGAGGTCTAGTGGTGGACCAAAATGTACATTATGTACTGCAGATAAGATATTATAATTTTCTCATCTGTGAACATGGTAAATTGATTCTTTGCATCCGAAACAATGTCAGGAATCAAGGCTGGAATGAGAACTTCTTCAATAAAATGAAGAACACTGTTGATAATTCTAACAAGAAGTTTATTGTATATTAAAACTGAAGAATAAAATCTTTCTATTATCTACTGAAGGACTAATTTCTACCCTGCTGGATGATTAACTGAGAAATCTAGCAGTAATTGCTGAAACAAGACCAGCACTGTTGCTTCTCACTTACTTCCTCTGTCCTGCATGTGTTTTTGTGTTTGCTCCAGCCAAGAAAAAGCAGGTGTATTGTTATCAGGTGCCAGCAGTCCATGATGCAACCTGGAGCAAATCTCTGACAACTCTCTTTCGGGGCCCCCATGGGTCTTCATTTATATAGATAAACCCCATTAAAAGTTGACATTCATATATTTAATTTTTCCAATTCCAAATGCCTTATCTTAGGAAATATTTCCACAAACCAAACGGCTTCTTTTGTTAAAAGAAATTTAGTTATTCTTTTTCTGTAAGAATATAAACACTTTAGGCAAATAATATGCAAACCCAGTGTTTGAGAGCTCAGCATAAACCACATATAAGTATTTTGGATGAATAATATTAATGTAAACAAACCCTGAATTTGATCTCTCAAGACCAAGAAATTCAGACAACACATTAATCCTATCTTCTCATGAGAGGAAAATGGATAGGTTAGAGGAAAAATTTGGTTTTGCTCAATTTTACTGAATAGTCATTTATCAAATCAATTCTCTTTGGAACATCCATTCTTCTGAGAATCTTAATTATTATTCTATTAGTATTCACTTCAGATTGCCATCCAGCAATTTCATGCAATTAAACATTGAACAGGGACAGTGCCCAGTTATATAAAGAGCCAACCATTTCTCCAGTAGCTTTAGTGATGAATTATATATACCACATGTGTACCACTTGTGGTCTGGAGTGGACTTGAGTTCTAATAGATCAGTGATTCTCAACTGGTGTGCTATACAATTTTCTTAATTGTGCCATGAAAGTATGATTCGATTCAAAATCCCTTAATAAATGTTTCTTCTAATATCGAACTTTAGCAATGTGAAGAGAAAGAAGAATTGGCCACCATTTCTAGTGATCGAAGGCTCAAAATAAAACACTCATTGATATATTCTGGATTTCAATATATTAGCTAAAGAGGCTTCATCAGTTTTATTGCAATTTCCTACTTATTTATGTGAATTAAGCTTCTCACCCCTAAATAACATCAAAAATAAGAAGCAAGAAGGACTACACTCATCTGGAGAAGAAATGAGGTTCTGCTTATTGCACATTCAACCAAACATTGAAGACATTGCGAAAAACACCAGGCATAGGTTTTGCACAAAATAAGCTGTACAAATAGTTGTATTGGTTTGTTTTGTTTTACAGCATATCAACCTCAATGGGTTATTTAATGCTAACAACATTTTTAGGATAGATTCGTATGAATAGAATATGGATTTTTTGGTTTAGATTGGTTTGGCTCATTTTGTTTTACAGTATATCAACCTCAATGGGTTATTTAATGCCAACAAAATTTTCCTTCTTGGTAATATTTTTTTTCCAAAAAATTTATCGTGGGTAATAATTTTTTTATACAAAGTTTTTCTAGTATTAAAACCAATATGTAAACTTTCGTAGTGTTTTGACCCAAGTTTGGGGGTTAATTATTTACCCATAGCTGGGATTCTAACAGGGTGGACCTGGAAACATAAACAATTAAGAGGTGGTTCCACACTCCTCAAAACCTTCTGATCAGAGGCCTTGCTGTTGGACATAGTTTAACGTCTTACCCAGGACACAGATGTAGTTTATTGTCATACTCAGGACAGAAATAGTTATATAGAAACATTGAAATAAAGTAATTTCATATTTGTGTGTGTATCTTTTTTTTTTTTTTAATCTATGGTTTTATTCATAACATTTAAATGTATATCCTTTAAAACTTTGGCTAAGTGTGCCATGATATTTTCATTTTCTTAGGTGTGTTGTTGCTTAAAAAGGGTTGAGAAACACTGCAATATATGTTCAAAGTAAAGAACCTCATTGAGATGACAACCATACATAGTGACATAAAATTCAGGCTTTGCTTAGTGGTGGTGAAATGTTACTAACTTGATTTTGAAAGCAAACCAGTTCCCATATCACCCCCACCATTTTGAGCTCAAAGTAAAAAGGTCAGAAGAGAGATCAACTGCCTGGCCTTGGCCATCTAGAAGATGGCACCAAAAGCAAAATCAAGAACTGATAGTTTGTTTTTTAATTCCCTAATGTCTTCTAATTATTTGCTAAAATATGTTCCTGAAATGTTTAAGCACAAGGTTAAGGTTTGACAAAAAAAAGTAATATATATATATATATACACGTTTTTTTTGTGTATGTGTAAGAATTGAGGGGCAGTGTGCAGAAATAACAATGACCCATCTGGTGCCATGCTAACTCGGTCCCATTGATGTGTACTGATATCGCTATATAATGCATCACATATCTTCAAGACTGTTTTGTTCATTTTTAGAAATTCATTTTATACTTTACATTTTATAATAAAAAAAAAAAAAGAGTGAGAGAACAATTCTTGTAATAAATTATTAGTTATTGAAAGACATTTTTTTTTTATTCACACTACATCCTTCATTTATACTATTTATGCTAGCAATTAAAACGGTATACAATTAAATAATTAGATAGTTTCAATGCAGTTTTTATGTTATGATTCAGAGAATATCTTGTGGATTTTGGTATTAGCAAGAGAGAAAAAATAGATTAAAAAAATATCTGATGATACACTGCTCTTAGTAGGACAAGAAATAAACATACTGAAATTATAGATTGAATCTATGGATTGTCAAGGATTACTCAGACCTTCCAAAGTTTACACAAAAATTATTGTGCTTTGGAAACTTTTGCAGTAAACATAATTTTGGTTGTAAATATGTAACTGTGGTGGCTTTGATGAGGCCAGAAATAAAAACACAAAGAGAAGAATTGAGTTAAATATATCAACAGGAAAACAGTAATACAATCATATACAAACAAGCAGAATGTTAAGTCCGACTGTCAGAGCTGACTGCTGGAAACTACCACTCTAAAAAGCAGTACCTGCTTTTATTTGTAACTTGGAAGAATCCATATGTGTATGGGTAATTACCATAACAGTAACATTTATGAGGATAATATACAGAAATCTTTCCTTGGGTGTTTATAAATTGTACACTGTTCAATTATTAACGTTATCAACAAACTATTTTAAATTACAAAAAATTGTACTGGAATTAAACAAAAATTACTTACAATACATATTACTTTATAAATTCCTTCTTATCATCAATGTTGACAGCACAGGTACACTAGTACCATTATAAAATGCATTAAAGGAGTTACTAAAGAAATAGTTTCATAAAAAAACTAATATCTATTTTTAAATGAACATCAGAAAAAGTAGCAAACATTTATACAGTTTTAAAATTGTTTGATTTACCAAAAAATAATGCAAAATGTTTTAAAATTGCTTTTGTTAAATGACTAATACTATCTTTCAGTAGAGATATTAAAAGACAACTAAATATTTCAACTAAATATGCTTTGTATTCTACTGAGACAAGTAAATGTTCAATAATAACCCAAGTAGTTTTGGGGAAAATGACAAAAAAAAGAAACGAAATAATTGAAAAGAATAAAAAATACTTAACTGAATTCCATATAAAAGCAAATATAAATATCAAATATAAAAGCAAATTTGAAGATAAATCTCAGCAAATTGTTATATACCAATTGATTCTAAAAATTAAAAAATGAAATGATCATATATTGTAGGCAGAAATTATATTTATTATATTATTATATTTATATTATAAAACTTTTTGCGGGTATGTATTAAATTATATTATAAAATTTTTGTGGGGTATGTATTAGCTTTTTAGCAATTTCAGTAAGGAGAATACTATGAAAATATTTTTTTTAATAACTGTTGAATGTTACATCAAACGTTACTTGAATTTCATCCATAGTCACAGCTCAAAACAAGTTTCTTTATGCACATTTATTGAAAATTTATGAAAGTCTAATATTGGGAGAACAGGGGCACCTCAGCATGGTGTAATGGTTAACAAGCTTGTCTTGCTAAAACAGTTACAACTGGAGAGTCAGT